AGTTGTATGCACCTGTAGTCCCAGATATTTGAAAGACTAAGACAGGGAAATGACTTGTGTCCAGTGTTGGCAGCATAGTGCAACTACTTCATTTTAAAAAAAAAGGAAAAAGTTTATAAAACATTATGTTGGGCTGGTGAGATGGTAAAGGTACTTGCTGCCAAGCCTGATTGATGATCCAGGTTCAATCCCTAGGACCCACGTGGTGGAAGGAAAGACCCAACTCCCACAAGTTGTCTTTTTCTTCCAAATGTTTTACAATAGACATGCATCCCTTTTCTAATTAGGAAAAAATATTCATAATTTAAAATACAAGATATAGCCGGGCGTTGGTGGCGCACGCCTTTAATCCCAGCACTCGGGAGGCAGAGGCAGGCGGATCTCTGTGAGTTCGAGGCCAGCCTGGTCTACAAAGTGAGTTCCAGGACAGCCTCCAAAGCCACAGAGAAACCCTGTCTCGAAAAACCAAAAAAAAAAAAAAAAAAAAAAAATAAAATAAAATACAAGATATAGATGTTGGCGGGAAGCACTCTACTGCAGTTTGCCCTGAGGCTCTGTAATGTGAGTTTTCTTGGTTTGGTAACACAGTTCCAGGTAGGAAGCTGGGTGTGGTGGCCCAACTAATAATCCCAGCACTTTGGGCACTGGGGTAGCAAGATTGAAAGGTCATGGAGCCCTTTTTTTGTTTGTTTGTTTTTGTTTTTTCGAGACAGGGTTTCTCTGTGGCTTTGGAGGCTGTCCTGAAACTCACTTTGTAGACCAGCCTGGCCTCGAACTCACAGAGATCCGCCTACCTCTGCCTCCCGAGTGCTGGGATTAAAGGCATGCACCACCAATGCCCGGCTGGAGCCCTTGTGTTGAAAGACAAATGAGAAAAGGAGTGTTCCAGGCAGCTGGACAGGAGGGATAGCTCAACTGCTGCTGTTGACCTTGCTTAGTGCAAACGGTTTCCAATGAACAGGTGAACTGCCCTTTTGTCCCTGTTCTGATCTGGTGTAAGGAGATCAAAGCAGGGCTGCATGCTCACCTCAAGCCCTTGCTAGGTTGGCCTCTGTCCTGGGTGAGGGTTAAGGCAGACATGCTTGTGCGTGGAGTTTCCCCAGCTTTGTCCTTCCTGGAGGAGGGCTGGTGCTCGGCCTCCAACTGCTCTTCTGTTCCCTCTGTCTCTTCCTTTCTCCACTTGTCCTGTCTGAATTAGAGTCACCTGCGGATGGATGTCTTTCCCTCTTTCCACATCGGCAGGTGTCGTCTTTGAGTCCCTCCTCTTTGGAGGCCTTTCCTACAAGTGTGCTTTGCTACCTGAATGTGTGCATTTGGGTACCCAGTATGTCCTTGAACTGCAGCATCCCTTCCAGGCAGGTGTGCACTGAGCACAGTTGCTCTCATGCTTACCTGGGTGTGTTTGTGTACACTTGGCCATGTCACATTTCCTTTGTCTCCTACATCCCCTTATTTGCCCACCCCCCTCATCCATCCCAGAAAGTCTAGAATGACAAGAGAAGAGCTTTTGGTGTGCTAAGAATTTGAGAGGAAACTTGGCTGGTCATCTTGGCCTCATGCCATAACATGTATAGATTTGTTAATGTTCTTTGTCAGTCCTGTGATCCCCCCAAAACACTCCTCTAATATTCTGAAAAGCATCACTGACCTGTAATGCACATACCATTCATTTCAGCTAGCCCGTGCACATCCAGTGAGCGTTAATGTATTCACAGGGGTGTGGACTCATCACTTCAATCAACCGTTTACCCCTAACACAAATTCTCTACCACTGGCAGTCCTCTTTTAGGTCTCTGGTCTATGCCTGTCACTAATCTACTCTTTGTCGCTTTGGATTTGCCAACTTGGGACATTCATACGATGGTTGCATATAACTCATGCTCTTTTAAGAAATTACTTGCTTTATGTGTAAAGGTGTTTTGCTTGCATGTGTACAGTGCCCATGGAGTCCAGAAGAAGGCATCAGATCCCCAGGAGCTGGAGTTACAGATGGTCAGTCCTGGAAGGAGCCATCTCTCCAGTCCACGTGGGGTCTTCTGTACCTGGCTTCTTTCTTAGCTTACTGTTTTCCCAGGTTTACTCCTGTTGCAGCGTGTCATTTCTTCTCTCCTTTGTGCAACTATGTATCGCATTTTGTTTGCATATTCATCTTGATGGACATTAGGTTATTTTCATTTTTTTTGCTATGATGAAGACTGCTGTCCTAAACATTCATATGTAGCACATACTTTTATTTCTCTTAGAATTTATACCTAGCAGTAGAATTTCTGGGTTATGTGGTTACTTTGTGAGTTTTTTGTTTGTTTGTTTGATTTGTTGTTGTTGGTTTTCCTGATTTTTTTTCGATACAGTGTTTCTCTGTGTAGCTTTTTAAACCAGGCTGGCCTCAAACTCACAGAGATCCACCTTCCTCTGCCTCCCCAGCACTGGGATGTGTGCTACCATCACCAGGCTTGTGGTTACTTTGCTTTACTGTCTGAAAAACCAACTCTGTTTCCAAAACAGCTATAGCTTCATATTCCTCCTGAAAGTTTACATCTGCTCCAGTTCTTGCTGGTTCTCACCAGCTCTTGTTACTTTCTAACTTCTTAGAATAGCCACCCTGCTGGGTCTGTGTGAGCATGCCCTGCTCTTGTGGAGATCAGAGGACAGCTCGGGAGAGTTGGTTCTCTCCTTCCCTCGGGAGAGTTGGTTCTCTCCTTCCCTCGGGAGAGTTGGTTCTCTCCTTCCCTCGAGGGTCTCAGGGTTTGAACTCAGGTTGTCAGGCTGGGCAGAAAGTGCCTTTAACCACTGAGCTCTGTCCGTTCATCTGGCAGTCCATCCATCCATTTAATTTACTAAGACAGGGTCTCACCATGTAGCCTTTGCTGGCCTCACTTTTACAAGGATCGGTTTGCCTTTGCCTCCCAAGTGCTGGGATTAAAGGTTTGGACTGTTAAACCCAATCTTTTCCCTTTGTTTTTTTTTTTTTTTTTTTTTGGTTTGTTTGTTTGTTTTGTTGTTGTTGGTTTTTTTGTTTTTTTGAGGCTGGATCTTGCTATGTAATCCTAGTTGGCCTGACATTAACTATGTAGACCAGATTGGCCTCACAGTTGTAGTGATCCTCCTGCCTCTGCCCATCTTAGAGCATAGACATTTAAATATTTTTGATAATGTTCATTGCTTATTATTTAATCCTGAGCAAAACCAGGCAGAAATAATGAGAGACAGGGGGAATCATCCCAAATACCCCCACTCTAGTATCAAGGAACTGACTCACAGTGGCCTTCTTTTTTCTGGATAGGTTCATGCTATGAGCTTCAGCTGGCCTAAAAATCTGAGATGCTCTTTCCTTAGCCGCCTGAGTTCTGGGATTCTGGGTGTGTGACTCTGTGCTCAGGCTGCAGTCACACTGATAAAACAAAAATGATCCCAGGCAATGAGGAAAGGAGCACAGCTTAAGCTCACACACACTGGCTGAATTTAATGAGATAGGTGATGTAACTCTCAGGAGACTGGCACTGCTTCATGACATGGTACAGGCTCTTGAGATGGGGGAACAGCTGTGCTTTGTCCAGTGGGCTATAATCTGTCCATGGCTATAGTGTGGTAACCTTAACTTTTTCTTTTTAATTAAAATCCATATAAATTTGTGGAGGCAGGGAGCATTCTTAGAGGTCAGAGGATGGCTGGGGAATTGGTTCTCTGGTACCATGTGGATCCTGGGATCAAACTCAGGCTGTCAGGCTTGATGGCAAACACCTTTGCTCCCTGAGCTGTATCTCACCAGTCCAATGTGTTGTACCATATGTACACACACACACACACACACACACAAACTCTCTCTCTCTCTCTCTCTCTCTCTCTCTCATACTCATACTCACAGAGATCCGCCTGCCTCTGCCTCCCGAGTGCTGGGATTAAAGGCGTGCACGCAATGCCCGGCTTATGTGTATATATATAAAGTTTTATGTGTATCAGCATTTTGTCTATATGTATGCGTGTATTTGTACCATGGGTGCAGTATACAGAGGACAGAAGAAGGTGTTCGAGTTAATGATGACTGAGAGTCATCCTGTCAGTGCTGGGAACCAAACCTAGGTACAGCAAGAATGAGTGCTCCTCACCGCTGAGGTGCGACTCCAGCCGTGACATGGTATCTCACCAGGCCTGAGAACCATCGGGTTTGGCTCTGAAATCATTTCAGATGGGCCTGCTCTTGCTTTGTACCCACGTTCAGAGTGCTCATGGGGAAAAAAAAAAAGCCCGAGCCTTCCTAACCTCGGCTTTCTAGAGTGTCCAGTGGAGAGACTCTTCTATTTACACTCAACTCAGAGGCAGGAATTGGGGAGCCACCTGCCTTGTTAGGATTGTGATTGGTGTCTTCCAGAAACACACTCTCAAAACTGAAAGCAGCTTTTGCTGACATCTGGTCCTTTCTGGAACTCTGATATTTTTATTTATGAAATGGCACTCATTTCCCCAAATAGAGTTTTATTTTTACCAGCCTTTTTCCCTTTGAGGGGTGCCCAAGGCTCACAGCTTTGCTCTCTGACACCTCCTTCAAATATGGTAAGGGCCCTGGTCTGTGTCAGGCGTGGTGAGGGAGTGTGTAGACAGGCAAGTCTATGTCTCTTCCCCTGGACTTGGATTTCTTCCTTACATCTGCCCCCTCTGCATCTTTGTCCAGGAAGGGAAAAACTTGCAGTTAGTGGCAATTGCCTAGTCTACTATGCTGTAAATTCCACAGAGGGAGGGAAAGCAGGTGAGACATGAGGCCTGGCCCTTGCTAGCTGCCCCCCCCCCCCCCCAGGCAAGTCCGACTTAGCCCATGACGGCCGTGATTGCAGCTCAACACAAAGTCATAAGCTTACTTAGAGTGAGACCTTCCTGCCATTCTTGTAAGCTCAGTTGCGTGGTTCTCTGGTATGAATTTTGCAGATGACAGTGTTGTGTCACAATGTCAAAAGATGAGACACGCCTGTGACCTAAGCCTTTCTTTCCTCCATCCATCCCCTCAGCTGCCCAATATGTTCGGTGACCTTCGGTCTACGTTTATTGCCTTGATGATTGGATCCTACGCTTCCTCAGCAGTTACCTTCCCGGGAATCAAGGTGAGGGTGTGGCTAACCACGGTTCCCCCCCCTTCATGCTTTATCCTAGCATCTGGGCCGAGGCCCCCGCCTAGGCCACTGCAGCCTCTCTGAAGAGAAATCATTAGGGCATTAGGGATGTCCCCTCAACTGCCCCTCCCACCTGGGCAGGATGCACCTGGCACCACAGGCACAAGAAGAGAAAACCGCTGGGCCCCGAAGGGGAGGGCCTGAGTGTGTTGCACTGTGGTGTGCGACCACGGGCTGGCTGGAGAAGGAAAAGTAGGGTGAGCGAGCTGGCCTCCAGTCCTGGTAGTCTCCAGCCTGTTGATACTGGGCCGATACTCCCCATTAGCAAGAGCTCTGCTGTTTGCCAAGTTGGTTCAGCTGTTTCCTGCCTAGGCTCCCAATCTCCTAGGCTCAGTTCCTTCCCCTGTCTGTTGCTCTGTCAGGGTGTCATCAAGAGCTTTGTCCTCCTGAAGCACTAGCATTGAGGTGAAGCTAACTTTAGGGGTATGGGGTGCTATGATGAGGGAGCCTCGGATGTGAGCTGGAACCCTGAAATTCCATGTGGTGGGTGGTGGGCGGTGAACTTTCTGGATGGTGGAGGAAGCAGAAGTCCCTGTGTTCTATATATATGTAGGTGCTGGCCTCCATCCTAGGGAGCTGAGCAGCTATACGCTAGGGCAGTTAGGGGACCCTCTCATTGGGTCTGGGAAGAAATGAGGATGCTCAAGACAGGCCTGGGGACATAGATCTATCATCATAATTACTAAGGAAACTGAGGCAGGGGGGATGGCAAGTTCAAGGCCTACTTGGGTTACAATGCAAGTTCAAGGGCAACATCTCACAGGTTTTTGTTGTTTGTTTTTTGTTTTGGGGTGTGTTTGTTTGAGACGGGATTTCTTTGTGTAGCCTTGGCAGTCCTGGAGATAGTTCTGTAGACCAGGCTGGCCTTGAACTCATAGAGATCCACCTGCCTCTGCCTCCTGAGTACTGGGATTAAAGGTGTGTGCCAACAATGCCCAGCCTGCCATGTGTATTCTTAAAGGCTAAAGAAACATTAGTGGATGAGGTTGCCAGGTTCCTGCCCTTAGGGAACTAGACTGACAGTCAGTGAGCCCAACAGCAGAATAATTAGACTGTAATCCCAGCACTCTGGAGGTGGAAGCAGAAGGATTAAGAGTTCAAGACTGCATAATGAGTTTGAGGCCAGCCAGGGCTACAAAAGAACTTGGCTCAAAACAAAGAAGAAAAACCTCTCAGAAGAAGCAGAACAGCCTTAGCCAGGACTGTTCACTGTGACCCTGTGGGACAGGCATAGCAGTGATAAAGTGGTCTTAAGGTGGTGACGTTTGTAGCCAGGGCTGTTATACAGAGAAACGCTATCTCAAGAAACAAAACAAAACAAAAAGACGGTGACGTTAGCTGGGCAGTAGTGGTGCACACCGTCAATCCCAGCACTCAGAATGCAGAGGCAGGTGGATCTCTGTGAGTTTCAAGCCAGCATGGTCTGCAGAATGAGATCTAGGACAGCCAGAGCTACACAGAGAAACCCTGTCTCCAAAAAGACAAAAGACCAAAAAAAAAAAAAAAAAAGAAAAAGAAAAGAGGTGACATTTGGTTCAAATTGGATTCCAGGAACAGAAAGGTTGGGATTATCACAACACAGGGATTTTAATAGCCAAGCAGCTCAGCTCTCAGGGGTGTGCCTTTTCATACAGCCCAGGACGGCGGGGGCTCCCGGCTGTCCCTTGTCCCATTCTGGCTTCTCACTGATGACTCTGCCCCCTCACCTGACAGCTCATCTACGACGCTGGTGCCTCCTTTATTGTCATCCTAGTGGTCTGGGCTGGCTGTTCTGGCCTGGTCTTCCTCAACTGTTTCTTCAACTGGCCACTCGAACCCTTTCCAGGACCAGAGGACATGGACTACTCGTAAGTCAGCATGCTTTCTGGCTACCCTCATACCAGCCAGGGTCCCAGGCAGCACCAGCAAATACCCTTGCTGTGGTCTCCAGGGTGAAGATCAAGTTCAGCTGGTTGGGCTTTGACCACAAGATCACAGGGAAGCAGTTCTACAAGCAGGTGACCACAGTGGGGCGCCGCCTGAGCGTGGGCAGCTCCATGAGGAGTGCCAAGGAGCAGGCTGCACTGCAGGAGGGCCACAAGCTGTGCCTGTCCACTGTAGACCTGGAGGTGAAGTGCCAGCCCGATGCTGCAGGTACCCAGCACCCGACTCTGACCTTCCAGGTTGGCCCAAGAGATCTGTGGGGGCATCCTCATTTACACTGCAGGGGTACCCCAGGGCCCCCTTGGTAGGGAATCATTGGCTTGAGGCTCTGTGGATACCCTGTCACTGAATTCCCGTCCTGTCTCAAAAGGGGGAGAGGCACCACCTGTCCTGTTTGACAGACAAACACACCACTGAGCTTAGGACATCTGCCCATGAGCGTCAACAGCATGAACCTCACGCTCCCACACAGTCAGCACATTGGCCTTCTTCCCTTCCCCAGACCCTGGGCGCTGGATGGGCTTGTTCCCTGGCCCTGAGCCCCATGCCTTCTTCCCACAGCGGCCCCCTCATTCATGCACAGTGTGTTCAGCCCCATCCTGCTGCTCAGCCTGGTCACCATGTGTGTCACGCAGCTGCGGCTCATCTTCTACATGGGGGCCATGAACAGCATCCTTGAGTTCTTGGTCAGCGGTGACCAGAAGACAGGTAAGTGTCACCTGGGCCTTGATGCTGTCACTGTCACCAGCCAAGTGAAGCCTACCAGCCTTACCAGCTGAAGGTACTATGCCGAGCTAAATCAGTATGGCTGTGAAATTGCAGTGTCTGAGGCCCTGTCTGCTTGCTGGGGCTGTTTTGTCACAGCCAGCCTGACTGACTGTTCTTTCATGTCCCCTTCAGGGTTTCCCGACTGAGGAGGGAGAGGACTGAAGTAGCTCCCTGTGTTTAGGGTGTGGAGTGTCTGTTTCTAGTGCCAGTGGGGAGGGCTGAGGGCTGTGTCTGTACTGAAAACACTGCCCAGAGCAGAGGGCTTCAGCTCCGCCCCACCCAGTCACATCTCTGATCTGAAGGGACTAGCTTGGCGCTTGGACAACCTGGGGGCTGAGGGAAGGACCTTTGTCCTGGCAGAGGACTCTGGGTCAGTGAGGGCCCATTCTAGGATCACTGTCCCGTCCTGGGAACTCGGGAAAACAGAGGCTTCCTGGGAATGAGTGATCCAGTTGAGGCTTGTTCACTCTGGGAAACAGAACTGATAACCCACAGGAAAACAGCAGGTCTTCAGCTGACTCGGGGCTTTGCTTCACAGGCAGAGAAAGTCAGTACTTCCCCAGGGCCTGGCTGACTCAGCTTTAGTCACCCTGAGCAAGCAGGACAAACACACTCGGCAAATCCTTTGTTGGCAGTCTTGCCAGCCTGCCGCTTTCTTTTGTTGGCTAACTTGTTTTTTACTGAGGGAAAGATAACGCAGTCCTTGCAAGGAGCCAAATACTAGTTTTCCACAGGGACAGGAAGGCCTGCTCTCACAGAGGGAAAAGCTCCAGGCACCTACTGGCTCCTCAGTGGGGAGAGAAAGTGGAAAGATGCTGAATACCATGAGCAAAAAATCATGATGGGCACAGTAATGGCCTCAGGCTCCTTATTGGGAGCAAAAGACCTTTAGCTTTCTTTAGTCTAATCGCAACTTCCTAACTTTTACCCCTGGATCCTTTTTTTGTTTTGTTTTAAGATACGGGGTCTTTCTTAGCATGCATGAAGCCCATGGTTCCTCCCAGCACCACATAAGAAATCAGTGTGGTGATGAATGCCTATAATCCCAGCACTCCAAAGGTAGAGGCAGGAAGATCAGATGTTCAAAGTCATCCAAGGTTCATAGCGAATGGGAGGCCTGCCTGGGTTAAAGAGAATACATCTGGGTTGGTCTACCCCCCCCTCCTCTGGGTGGGTCTTGCTTGCTGCTTCGTCTAGACTCTCAAGCCACCCTCCTGCTTCAGTCTCCGGTAGCTATGACTACCACATAGTGGATCATCCTATGTGGTAGAAATTTTTGTTTTTCTGAGATGTGGTAGCCTGGGCTGGCGTGCAACTTGCTCGGTAGACCAGGTTGGCCTCACTGTAGGGGATGCTCCTGTCTCAACCAAGTACTGGAATTACCATGACACCCAACTTGATCTTTGGTATTTCATTTAAATAAAAGTCTCTGGCTGGGACCAGTTCAGGAGGTAAAGATGCTGGTTGCCTGTGTGGACCTCAGAGCACCACTTGGAGGAGTCAGTTCTCTCCTTCCCCTCATGGATTTCAGAGACAACTCGGGTGTGAGGTTTGCATGCCAAGCACCTTAAGACATCTCGCTGGCCCTAACTGTCTTCCTTTTGATTTTTCTGTTGTTGGACTAAGTGGCACACCCCTGTTTAATCCCAACATTTGGGAGATGGAGGCAGGTAAAAGCTCCAGACCAGCCAGATCTTGGGAGTGTGAGGTCTTGACTTAAAAAAAAAAAATCAGGGCTGGAGAGATGGCTCAAAGGTTAAGAGCCCTGGCTGCTCTTCCAGAGGTCCTGAGTTCGATTCCCAGCAACCACATGGTGGCTCACAACCATCTGTAATGAGATCTGGTGCCCTCTTCTGACCTACAGGAATACATGCAGGCAGAACACTGTATACATAATAAATAAATAAATCTTTTTTTTTTTTAAATCAGTTTTGGGGCTGGAGAGATAGCTCAGAGGTTATGAGTACTGACTGCTCTTCCAAAGGTCCTGAGTTCAATTCCCTGCAACCACATGGTGGCTCACAACCATCTGTAATGAGACCTGGTGCCTTCTTCTGGCCAGCAGGCATACCTGTAGGCAGAACACTGTATACATAATAAATAAACAAACAAATAAATCTTTTTTAAAAATCAGTTTTAAGATGGATATCCTGCACCAGAACTCAGGATATCTTTATCCCCAGAACTCGGGAAGCAGATGCAGGTGGATCACTGAGTTCCAGGACAGCCTGTTCTACAGAGTAAGTTTAGGACAGCCAGGGCCACACAGACAAACCAAGTCTAGAAAAACAAACAAAAAGATGGACATCCTGATTCACTCCTGTAACCTCAGGTACTAGGCAGGCTGAGACAGGAGGATTATGAATTTGAGGTCAGTCTGGCTGTACAATGAGACCTTACCCCCACAAAAAGAGAAAAGAAAGAAAAAAGGATCAGCTTCAAGAAGCAGAGGGGAACCAGGAGAGGACGTCTGAAGTATGGTAGGCAGGTGCTCTGGTCCCCCGGTCTCTGGCACCCGCATCCATGGGCCTGGCTCTGCTGGGAAGGGTTGCCATGGGGTCAGGGAGCCAGTGACAGGAGAAAGACTGGCTGTCGGGAGAGCTGTGCTGTCAGATGGCCATGTGGCCGGCACAAATCCTGTGACCTTTCCTTCTCTCTGAGTGCAGCGGAAGGTAGCAGTGACAGCAGCACTCCCACAGGGCGCTTGGTAGAACTCTGATTCTACCAGGCCTTCTGCCTGCACGCCACTTCACGGTCCTGGTGCCCTGGCCAGGGCCTTGGGCCTGACTCACCAGCCTGCCCGTGATGAGTAACCAGCAGCCAGGAGGATATGAGCTGGGCTGGTCACTGCATTGGGCAAGGCCTTCATTGGGTGCTCTGGGGTCTCCTGGGAAGCCAAGTGTATGCTGCTGGGCTCTGATGTCGCCCATCTCCTGTCAGTGCTTCACCCCTGACCTCTCCCTTCTGCTTTCTCCATAAAGTGATGGCGGCTGCTAAGAGGGGGATTTTGGGGGAGCCTTGCAACACCCCTCACAGCTGCTCTCTGTTCAGATGTCTCATCTGAAATTCCAAACATCCCTCTTGACTAAACTGGTGGAGCAAGGGTGGAACACTTAGCGATCAGCTATGTTCTCATCCCCCACCCCCTGCAATTTTAAGTCTCTTTGAAGATGGGAAGCCCAGACGTCAGAGTCCCTGTGAATAGTGCCTTCCTGGTACATTTCTGGCGACAGAAAAGGATGGTCAGTCACATAGAAAGCCCTGTCATGAGCATTGGTAATTTTGTGGTTTCCAAGTCAGAGTGACTTCCTGAAATTTTGGTGTGGGAGAGAGGGTTGTATTGTGACATACCGGCGCAGAAAATTGGCCTTTATTCTAGCTTTGATTTCAGAAGTTAGGGTCTGTAGGTTCCCTTCAACCCTCAGTGACAAGGGGGCTCCAAGACAGACCTCTGAGACCTTGCAGATTCCACTCAAGCTGTTCCCAGGGCTATGTGCTTGGAGCTCCCATGACATGCCCTCTTCCTTCCCAGTTGCCCTCTATACCTCCATCTTTGGCGCACTCCAGCTGCTCTGCCTGCTGACAGCTCCTGTCATCGGCTACATCATGGACTGGAGGCTAAAAGAGTGTGAAGATACTTCTGAGGAGCCTGAGGAGAAAGATACCACTCAGTACGTAGGCCACGGCCCACTCTCGGCCCCCAGAGAAAGACAAGGGGGTCATATTGTGTGTCAGTTGGGGTCTGGTGGGCAGGAGGGGCAGGGGGGGCTCTCAGGACCCTGGCCAGCCTATCACCCGTTGTTCCCACCGCTGTGGAAATTCTCTGAAGTGATGAAGTGTGGGAGCCACTGAGGTAGAGGAAAGCAGAGGGAAGCCCAGGACCCCAGGTTGGCACTCACATCGTTGACATGAGCCACACAAGGGGCCATTTTAAAGCCACCTGCTGCTGGGATTCCTTCCACTTGAGTTGTAAGCTACTCCAACCAAGTGTGCTGATGATGTGCTGATTCTGAAGATTAAACAGGGCTCTGGAGTCCTGCTTTATAGAAGGGCTGGGCTCGAAGATCAGAGGATGAGTTAAATGCTGTCTTCTACAACTCCCATCATGTGATAGCTGTTATTTATTGTACCAGGCCCAATGCCAAGCACTTAACACAATGTCTCACTTCAGCTTCAGTACCATGATGCAACATGTGTTAGTGTTGTACCCATTTTACAGATGAGGGAACCCAGGCTAGGTGTTCAAGTCTTCTTACAGAGGTGGTATAGTTAGAAAGTGGTAGGCCTGGGAATTGCTGACATTTGCCATTCATTCTGTGATCATCCATGGGGTTTCAGCGTGGGTGGCGTGGCTGGAATCAGTAATAGTTAATTCACAAGGAAATAATTACAGAGACTCTGTTATCTAGGTTAGGCCCTAGAGACAAAGGGGTGTTTGCCATCCTGGTTCCATCTGCTGTGTATTTGTTTCCCCTCACCCTATCCTGCCCCCCAAGGGGAAACCAACTCACTCCTTTAGTTGGCTTATTATCTGGCTTATTACCAGCTTCCTGCAAGATACAGGTGCAGTGAGGCTTTGCTGCACCCTCTCTGGGGCACACTCTGTCCCTCCCCCTCCCCGCCATCAGCTGAGCTCATGGCTGTGAGAGCCTCCGCTTGAATCAGCCTCTGCTCAACTGAGAGGGCAGCCCAGAGAGTGTCCCTAGTGCTGGTCTAAGTGTGCCTGAGTGGCCTGTGGAACTTGTCTCAGTCCACATCCTGGGATCCCTGAGATAGGACTTTTGGGGCGGGCCCACCTTCGCCAGGGAGCCTCTCCCCACTGCAAGTCCTGTGTGCTCTTTCTCCCCAGAGGTGAAAAGCAGCAGAAGCGAGACAGACAGATCCAGAAAGTTACTAACGCCATGCGGGCCTTCGCCTTTACAAATGTGCTGCTCGTGGGCTTTGGAGTGACCTGCCTCATTCCTAATCTGCCTCTGCAGGTAGGTCTGGGGAGAGAACGGGCAGGCGATGGGACACAGATAAGGGATGTTTAGAGGCTAAAAGTGCACGTGATTCAATTTCAGTTTGGCCAGCTGCCAGTATTTGCTGGAGGTCTGCTTAGCCTCCTCTACTTCCCAGCCATGGGCTGAAGAGGAGGATGAGCTTGTGAAGACCAGTCTTCCTTCACAGGACTCTTCTCCAAGCAGGCACATTGTTCTCTGTACTTAGGCACCTCGCATGCCATGGCTACCACTGTTGTCTGTTTCCTGGAACTGTATGGTTTTTCATTTTCTCAGACACTTGAAATCTGATGTGTAAAGAGATTTGGCCAAGGCTGAGTGTGATGGCACACTCTTGTAATCCCAGCCCTCTTAATGACAGAGACAACAATGTCCCCATGACTGTTATCCTAGAGAGAATGCCTGATCCTGGCTGGGTGCTTTGTACGAGATTTCTTTTGTCTTTTGATCCTCCTGCCTTGGCCCTCCAAGTCCTGGGGTTACAAGAACACACCACCACGTTTCGCCTTGCACAAAGATTTCTGAGTTTTCTGAAGCCTGTCTTGCTAGTATTTGCAAGCCAACTAGACTTTGCACCTGCCTGGCCCCACCCATTGGTCTGTGCAGACGTTTTTCCAAGTCCGTTTGGGCCCAAGTTTATAAGGTGAATGGATGCACCTGATAGCATTGCTTCGCTGTGGGTGTAGTCCAAGTACAGATATGTCTCAAGCCAGCTCTGGGAGGAAATGAAGAGACTCATTGTTTACAAGGTGCCAGGTGTTGAGCTACGTTGAGCACACAGGTGTACACACCCACAGGCACTGTCACACATGCGTGCAGGCACTGGATGTGTAGATCAGAGTACGCCGTGGGAGACTTGCACTAGATCCAGGGAGGAGGCACTGACAGACTCCTGTTGTGGCCCTCTTGTGCAGTTGAGGGTTATGCTAAGTTGCAGGCAAGTCATCCACTTTTTAATTAACTCAGTTCTCATTGAAGGCCGGTTGTGAAAAGTCAGCAAGGCATGTGAAGGAGAGACAGGGCTGTTAATTCACATCTGCATAACCTTTTAAGCCTGCCAGGAGCAGCCCTGGCCCCTCCATCACCCACAGTCCTGGGAATGGGTCCTAACTGCTAATGCAAGATGCCATGGATGGATGTATATGGAAGAGAAGACAAACGCAGGACTCTATGGTGGCACTGACTAGCAAGGCCTTCTCAGAGATTTGCTAACAGGAAGAGGCCTTTCAAAGTCTGATAGAGATTTGTGAGGCACATGAAGACAGCCACTTGCCAGTAGGGCCTGAATGACCAGGCAGGGAGACCTCTGGGAAAATCCTCACATAAATATAGATTCTTAGGGTTAGATAAGGAGATCTTAGCCTTCATGCATTTGCTTGCAATGTTCATGGTGTGAGTACTCTGTTATGTCTGAGAGTATATGGAAGATGCCTTCAGAACAGACAGAAGTAATTCTGGTGAAAGAATTAGGAATTGATTAATTTTGATCATTCATTGCCTGTCTTTTTCCATGAGACAGTCAATTTAGCTTCTTTTTTTTTTTTTTTTTTTTTTTTTTGGTTTTTTGAGACAGGGTTTCTCTGTGGCTTTGGAGACTATCCTGGAATTAGCTCTGTAGACCAGGCTGGTCTGCAACTCACAGAGATCCACCTGCCTCTGCCTCCCGAGTGCTGGGATTAAAGGCGTGCGCCACCACCGCCCGGCTTAGCTTCTTTATTAATTCCTTTATTTATTGGTTTTTTGAGACAGGGTTTCTCTATGTAACAGCCCTGGCTGTCCTAGTACTCTCTGTGTAAACTAGGCTGGCCTTGGACTCACAGAGATCCACCTGCCTCTGCCTCCTGAGTGCTGACTTTAAAGGTATGTGCCACCATGCCTGGCAAGTTTCCTTTTTTCTTTTGAAAACATTTTTAAATGCTATGATTATTGGTGTCTTGCCTGCATGTGTATCTGTGTGAGGGTGTCAGATCCCCTGGAACTGGAGTTACAGACAGGTGTGAGCTGTCATCTGGGTGCTAGGAATTGAGCCTTGGTCCTCTGGAAAAGCAGCCAGTGCTCTTTACTGTGGAGTCTTCTCTCCAGCCCCCAGTTAGTCTCTTAGTTATAAGTTTATAGAATTTAATTTTTCATAATGACTGTTTTTCAACTGACTACGAAATTCATGAAAGGGCTGGGCAGTGATGTCTGCACTCCTATAATTTAATCCCAGTGCTCGGGAAGCAGAGGCAGGTGGAGCTCTAAGTTCGAGGCCAGCCAGGTCTACAGAGTATGTTCCAGAACAGGCTTCAAAGCTACAGAGAAACCCTGTTCTGAAAAAAAAATCATGAAAGGGTCCTCAAGGTGGCTTAGTTGTGAAGACTTTTGTTGCCAAGCCTGGTTTTGACCCTGCGACCTGCGTGGCAGGAGAGAGCCAACGCCCGAAAGTTGTCTCTGACCTCCATACGCACCTCACGACACTTGCCCGGATGAATTAAATAATGGAAGTTTTAAAGAAAAAAAGTTTAAAATTTCCTTTTTGTGTGTAAGTCTGTGTACTAAGTGCGTGCCTACAGTGGTCAGAAGGCATCTGGTCCCCTAGAATTGGAGTTGCAGATCATCATTGTTTAGGTATTTTGGGAAGAGCAGGCAGTATTCTTGACTGGTGAGCCATCTCTCTAATCCTGATGTAATATATATTTTAATTATAAAAATGTGGACCTGAAGAGATGGTCCAATGGTTAAGAGCACTGGGTGTTCTTGTGCAAGGGCCTGGGTTTGGTTCCCAGCACCCACGTGGTGACTCACAACTGCCTTTCAAGAGATCTGGTGCCTTCTTCTGGACTCTGACACCGGTACACACTCAGTGCATGTACATATTTTCAGGCTAAACACTGATACACATAAGTAAAATTAAATAGTCATACATACATATATACATGTGCGTGCGTGTACAGAGGCAGGCGGCAGGCTTTTGGTTACCAGGCTGTGACTACTAGATTTTTTTTTTAATAATACAAAAAGTTTTATCAAGGACCAGGTATGTTGGTGCATGGCTTTACTCCCAGGACTGTGGAGGCAGTAAGCTCCACTTTGTTAGTCCGAGGCCATCCTGGTCTACATAGAGAGTCCTAGGACAGCCAGGGATACCTTGTCTTGAAAACAAACAACCCCCCCCACCACCACCAAAAGAACACTCTTCACTGGAGAGCTGGTGGCAGCCAACTCCAGGTGGCCCCAGTTTCTGTGCCTGAGTCCCCAGGAGCCAGAGGGAAAGGACACTGGGGGTCCTGAGGGTCTCCTGCTCATGCTCTGTTCTCCCTCCTTCCCTCCCTCAGATCTTCTCCTTCGTCCTGCACACAATTGTGCGAGGATTCATCCACTCTGCAGTAGGGGGCCTGTATGCTGCTGTGTAAGTCCTGGAAGCTCTGGGTGGTGTGGTGGCCCTGCCCTGAGGGAACTGCTGGTGACACAGAGACCCTGAAACTGGCCTATATCAGGGGACAAGTGCTAGGGTTTCTGCTGGCCGTGTCAGTTAAGGCCACCATACATACTGACAGCAGGTGAGTCAGTAGGCAGACAGTTGGGTGCCCACAAGGCATGGCATTTAACACGAAGTCAGTCTCTCAGCTGGGATCAGCCCCGTAGGGCTTCAGGTTGCTGTTCAGCCGAGTCCCGGCACTGTCCCTGGCTGCTCACAGGGACAGGGTTGGGTTCTGGCTGCCTGAAGCTAAATACTAAAGTGTAAATAGTCCTCAGTAGGGGCAGTGACATGGATAATCCAGAAGGACTGGGCTGTCCTCACCCAGGGCCTCAAAGGGCCCATTTGCTGGCCACGGTCTCCTTGAACCCTGCCTACAGTAACACCTACATCTATTCCAAGAAGCTACACAGCTGTTCCTCCTTCTTTTGCCCAGGGCTTGGCCCACAAATTGAAAACCAAATTCATCGTCTGCCGTCTGTGACCATGAATGCAGCGCGTTCTTGCTCAGGATTCCCTTGTACCTTGGGGGCAGCAGAGCCTAATGTTCCCCAAGATTAAGCCCTCTTTGAGCAGCATCTTACAGGGGTTATTCCAGGTCCGCCTGTCCCCTGCCTTGTCCCCTCCCGCCCCAGGCTTGGAGGAAGTTGTGGCTGCCCTGGCAGGGTGTGAGGGAGTCGGGCAAGGGCTGTGATGCTGAGTTTCCGTGATTGTGCAATGCTCTTGGAGGGGGGGACAGCAGAGCCAGGTTCAGCCTCCAACCTGCTTCCCGGGAACGTTTCCCAAGCCGCAGACTCTGCTGGCACCATCCTTTCCACTCTGCTCAGCCCGACACCCTCAGGCTGGGGGCACATCTGAGCATGGGAGAGGCTTTCTCCGGTCTGAAGCCTCCGGCTGGCATCCAACCATCCTGAGGCTGGTCCTGGCCTCTTCCCACAGGCTCCGATGGTGCAGCCCCTGTTACCAGCATCCTTGAGCCAGGCCAGTGAGGAATTGGAGAATCCTGTAAATGGTGCTGGCTGTGACGGGTCTCCTTTTCCCAACAGGTACCCCTCCACACAGTTTGGTAGTCTGACAGGACTGCAGTCTCTGGTCAGTGCGCTCTTTGCTCTCCTTCAGCAGCCGCTGTTTCTGGCCATGATGGGTCCTCTTGGAGGAGACCCTCTTTGGGTAAGAACAGTCGGGGTGTCTCCATTCTGCTCCTGGGAAAGTGGGGCCCAAGGACAAAAGGCAGCATGGGAACTTTGTAGAGAACCCAGTCAGGGGTCCCTTGTGGACGGTGGCCAGGCAGGAGGAGAAAGATGGCCTCTCTGGATCTTAATCTGGCTTTCCATCCAAAGACCAGCATTTCAATCTAGGTATCATGAGTTGTCCCAACCCCTGAAGACGGCTACTGAGTGACACGTGGAGAACTGGGGAATTTAGATGCTGGAATGTGGGTTGACAGCCCTGGGACCTCTTGACCCTTCCTGTTTAATTTTCACTCTTCCCTCACCTGCGCGTGGGGGAGGGCGCATACAGCTCCTTATGCCAGCCCGTTCCCCACCCTCCCAGGTGAACGTGGGTCTGCTCGTCGTGAGCATGCTAGGCTTCTGCCTGCCACTTTACCTGATTTGCTACCGGCGCCAGCTGGAGAGGCAGCTTCAGCAGAAGAGGGAAGACAGCAAGTTGTTCCTTAAGGTCAATGGCTCATCCAACCGGGAGGCTTTTGTGTAGGGCCTGCCTGCTGCCTCAGAGCTGTGGCCTCCTGCCTGTGCTTCAGTGACTTGGCTGCTGTCATCTACCCACCCCAGAGGATCCCATGTGCTCCCTGGATCCTGCCTTTCACCACACTGGAGCCCACACTTCCTCACAAAGCCTGGCCCTGCCCTGGAGTGCTCGTGTGGATGGACAGGAGAGGGCCCAAGACAGATGAACCTCCCACTGCCAGAAACTGAGCTGGCCTGGCCTAGCTGTCACCCCAGGGGCTCTGGAGTCTTGAATCTCCATGGGGCCTGTACCTGGAGCCAAGAGGAGCTCCAGCAAGCAGGCACGCCCTCACTGATCTGGATTCTGCCTCTTGCCAAAGCAGAGGGGCCCGCCATCCTCTCCCCACTACCTGTCCCTGAGCTGCATGCCCACCAACCACGCCCACCTGAGGACAAAGGCTTGCACTGTCTGCACTCCCCTGGCCTGGCCCCTTACCTCCCCTGGCCAGTCTGTGGCTGCCTGAGGAAGGAAGGACCCGCTTCCTGTTGTTGGTGCTAACCCCTTTGTAATCTCAGTGCTCCCCCTCTCCATCCCCCCACCGTGACTAGGCCCTGGCCTGGCCTTTCCTTGAAGGCCTGTGGAGAAGACAACACCTCCCCCCACACCTCCATCCCCCATCTCAGTCTGGGGAAGGGATGGAGGACAGAATAGTTTTACAAAGCCTCAGGAGCCACAGGCAAGGCTTCTTTCTCAGACTGGGGAAAGTATATCCTCTCTACTGCCACCCTTGTTCCAGCCTGCAAACCTAAAGGAACTGAGGGGACATCACAAGGGCACCCTTCCACCCACACAGCTGTTTTTCTAGGGTGGGAATACAGCCATGACTGGCAGACATGGAGAGCCAGGCCTAAGTAGGGAAGAAGGCTAGTGAGTAACCGTGTGTGTGTGTGTGTGTGTGTGTGTGTGTGTGTGTGTGTGTGTGTGTGTTCATGTGCATATATGGTAGGAGAGGAGCCCTGGGGACTGCTTTTATGAGAGTGGACCAGACCAGAAGCCAGCTAGGCCTGCAGCAGGCTCAAGATGGGAGAGTCAGCCTTGCTTTATGATGGGGACCTTGTGTGTGACCATGTGGTCACAGTGCCCCCTGCTGGCAGACTATCAGGGCACTGGGACTGTGTCTGTGGGAGAAGCTTAGCTGGCCTGCCTGGCTCAATAACCCACTTATATGACAGCCCCTAGGGACCTGTCTGAGACCTTTTAGGGTGCCAAGAGGGGAGAGTTGGTTTTCAAGTCTATGGTTTTCTCTTGAGTTTTATTGGAATTCTTTTTATGAAGCAATAAATCCATTTTCCTCTTGGTAATGGATGACCCTCCTCTACATATCAGTTGGCCACTCTGCCTGTTTTAAGATTGAGAAGGAAAGGACGAGGGTCTGCCAGGAAGGGAAATTAAAATGTCAGAGAGAGTGGCATATACTTTCATCCCAGCACTTGGAAGGCTGAAACAGGCAGAGTTTGGGGCCAGCCTGGTCTACATGGAGAGTTCCAGGGCTACATAGTGAGACTCTGATATTCTGCTAATGACAAACCCAGTTGCACCTGGGTGCTCTGTCCTGAGTGACATGTCCAGGAAGGGGCGTGGGCAAAGAAAAGATCTGACTGCCCCGTACTCCAGGCATATAGGGCTGTGGAGAAGTGGGGCTGTTCCCTCCAAGTGGACAGGCCAGTCCAGAAGCTTCTGTCTACTGTTTCCTGTCAACTCATAACCCCAAGGGTAGTTATGTGTTGATTCCAGGAGAACTATAGGCTGAATAGCTTCAGGATGGGGTGAGGGCGGACATAGATGAGAGGCCCCCAGGCCAAGTGTAGGCTCTGTAGTAGCAGTGGACTATGTCTTGAGTCCAGTCAGTTAAAATAGTAAAATCACTACCCCCATAACAGTGAGCTGCTGGAAGCCTCTCTCTGTGGCTTCTTGCAGTTCAGTGGTAGAGCTCACTCTTAGCATGGAGAAGGAGTCAGGTTCTGTTTCCCAAAAGAACTGGATCAGCATTTTCCAAAGACACCTCTCAGAGTGCTGGTTTGTGATGCCTCACTGGTTGTTATCTTTTGACAAGTGTCTAGTCAAACACCAAGCATGCAGAGTTAGGGTGCCCATACACTGCCCATGTTTGTAAGCATTGCGGCTCTCTGAGAAGGGATGTAGCACCAGGCGTGGCAAAAGGATCCTCTGAGGCCACAATGTGAGTTCCAGACTAGTCAGGACTACACAATGAGGACCCTGTTTTTTGTTTTGTTTTTAAAGGAAGCCCACAAGTGTGCTGTCAGAATGGTAGAGTTGTGGAAATGTGGCACAGGCCTGTAATGCCAGCATCAGGAGGCAAAGAATGGAGTGTAACTGATCTGTAACTGTGCTTCACACACAAGGTTATGGCATGCAACTGAGTGGGGAGTGACTAATTGTAGGAGCCATGGCCTTCCTGTGTGTGTGACACGGGCCACTTGCAGAAGGCCCTGCAGTGTTAAGACTGTAGACTCCAGGGCAGGGCAAGCATGTAGCTCAATTGGTAGCAATGTTTGCCTAGCTTAGACAAAGCCCTGGTTTTGATGCCCAGCCCAAAATAAAACTGGGCATGGTGGCACATGGCTGTTATCCCAACACTTGGGGGATGGTGACATTGGGATCAGGAGTTGAAGTCATCTTTGGTCACATAGTGAATTTGAAGGAGATCCCATCTTTAAAAAAAAAAACTGTCATCTACAGGTCTCCTCTGTGTCTTGGTTTGATTCTGGTGCCTCCAGAGGTTCAGATGTTCGACAGAAGAGGGAAATAGCTTGAAGGAATGCTAACTGACAAAGCCCCTCCCTGCTAGGTACATACATGACTCGTGCAGTCCCCAACAACACTGAGGGGCCACACATTTTGAGCATAACAATTTAAGGGAATATCCTAGCATTGAGAAACTAGACATTTGGATGGAAAAGAGTGCAGAGCCAACCTTGCTTGAGGATCAGAGGCGTCAGCCAGCAGCAGGGAGCAGAGGTGTGGCAAGCCAGATGAGTTGGGAACTCCCTAGTCAAGGGCCATTCTGCCCCGACTTGGCACAAAGTCGACATGTTTTCCTAGTGTCTTTGACTCATGGTAGCAACCTGGCGTAGGGCAGATGCTTGGAGAAACAGTCCCAGAGAGGGAGAGGAACTTGCTCACAGTGAAAACAAGTACTGTCATGTGTCTCTCCGGCACTAAAGCAGCCAAGACCCTCTAGGCCAGAATGTCCCATTGGAAGCAACAGCCCAAGAGAGGCGCCAGGCTTCCAATAGAGCAACAAAACCCAAGGAAGGGGTTTTGCAAGCCCAAGATGGTCTGTGTCTTGGAGCCAAAGTTTCCTCAGGCATGGGGAAGCTATCTGCACCAGGCTCACGTGAGCCATGGAAGCTGATGGGTACCTGGAGGAATAATTCCCTGATCACATTCAGAGGGGAGCCTGAGATAAGGACAGAACCACAGGCAGAGACACCAGCCTTTTCATCTTTCCTCTTGTCCTGCAAACTCTGGAGGTGGAAGAAACAGGAAGTGACGCCCAGCCTTGTGGTTTTACCTGATGAGGACAGGAAGAGCCTGTCTCACTTGTACCTCTGGAAGTCCCTTGTGGTCTCGGCACTCATCAAGAATGGCTTCCCTGGCCCGGCGTTGGTGGCGCACGCCTTTAATCCCAGCACTCGGGAGGCAGAGGCAGGCGGATCTCTGTGAGTTCGAGGCCAGTCTGGTCTACAAAGTGAGTTCCAGGACAGCCTCCAAAGCTACAGAGAAACCCTGTCTCAAAAAACAAAACAAAGAGTGGTTTCCCCTAGGCCTCTGTCCTTGTCACTTTGCTAGGGCCTATTCACAGCTGACTCCAGCCTTCATTAAGGTCAAAGACAAAGTACAGATCCTTGGGGGCTACTTTCTGTGTTATGTCTACCATGCCCACATTCAGAAGTTCTGGTCAAAACTTGCACATAGCCAGGTGGTGGTGCTGCACACCTTTAACCCCAGCACTCTGGAGGCAGAGGCTACAGAGCGAGTTCCAGGACAGCCAGGGCTACACAAAGAAACCCTGTCTCGAAAAACCAAACAAAAACCCAAACACTTGTATGTAAACCTTTACCAAAGACTCCCATAGCAGCACAGACGCATTCAGCTAAGTAGATAGAGGCCTGGGAGTCTTTTTGCTTTGCTTCAAGGCAAGATCCCGCTTGTCTCTTTAGTTGGCTTTGACCCAGCCATCTTTCTGCCTCAGCTTTGAGTGCCTAGGATTTTAGGTGTACACAGATATGCCCTGCTCAGTGGCATCTGTTGCATTTTCCTGTCAGCCTGTATGAACCTAGGCAGATATACCATCTGGAGTGACTGGTGATGGGTGGGGACAACCTTATGACAGCCTGTGGTGAGGATGTCCTGCTCAGAGCTCTGCAGTTGTCGCCACAGAGGTAGGCTATGGGAGCCATTACAGCCTCAGTGCTGTTACCTATGAAGAGCACTAAGACAGGTTCCCATGGGCTTTGAAGGCAGTGCGGTTCCTTCTCTGTGCAAGTTACCAGGGCCCAACCTAAGTGTACTGACTACTTTCCTCACACACAGACTATGGCCTGTGAAGATAAGACTACCTGAGTAGTTCAGAGGGCTTGCTTGTCCTCGGGCTGTAATCCTTCTCTGGGTTGAGGGTCAAGGTAAGACTGTCCCCAAGCTGTAACTCACTCACCCTGAGCCCTAGGGTGTGGGCAGAACCTCCTGAGTGTTCAGGAGCGTCAGTGTCCTCTATGAGGAAGCATCATGCCCCTGCCAACACAGCCACCATCTGTGCCCCTTGGCTCCTGCAGTGAGTCATTCTTACATGGAGAGGTCCAAGACAGGACCATGGGTCGCTTCCTAACCGTGACTGTTGTCTGAGAGAAGCACAGAGGTTAGCAGCCACATGTCATTTTCAGGGAAATCTGGAGTGTCATTTCCTCCAGTGACATGGAGGCATCGGTGCCCTCACAGAGTGGCTAAGGGGAGCCATAGCTAACTCACATGAGCACAGTGTGTGTAGCATGAGGCAGAAACTTGACCATCTTGGCGCTGGAGAAGGGCAGTCAGTATAGGGAGTGAGGCACCCCCTCCCTCATGTAACAGGCACTGACTGGCCATGCCAAACTGATGGCCAAATAAAAGTGGTAAGGTCAGTACCACTGACCTCAGTCCCCTCAGAACTTCTACAATGGAGCCTTAAGTTCTCTTGCCCACTTTTCCATTTTTTTCTTTGGCCAACAAGTTTTAGGGGTGGAAGTCCCAGCCCTGGGTGGTCCTTCTATACCATCTTTCTGAATGATTGGCCAGGTGTGTGTGTGTGTGTGTGTGTGTGTGTGTGTGTGTGTGTGTGTGTGTGTGTGTGTGTGTGTGTTCTGAAATGCTCTGGTGTGCCTGTGTGCTGTAACACCTGGACGCAGAGGAAGGAAAGGCCCATTGCCTCACTTTCTGTTACTAGGAGTATCCAGGCAGGTTAGAATCCAGGCCAAGTCAAAGACCCAGCCCAAGCCTTAGAGCGAGGCCTGAAGGTGTGCTCTTATGTTCACCAGGGTCACATGGTGTCACTGATAACTCAGCAGCTGACCTTGGCTGTTACCTGTCACTTTACTGTTCCTAGTCCCCAGCATACTCCTTGGCACACAGTAAGCACTGAATAAACGTATGCTGAAAATGATTAAGAACTCTGTGGCTCCCATGTCTCTTCCTGCCAGGATCACACCACCCAGGAGAGGGGACAGAGGGATGGGGCCACTCAGGAAGGGATGCAGGGAAGAGAGATGCTAGGAGGTGATGTGAGGCCTGCAGACTTGGGCGGTGGGCTCTGCCCCTGCTTTTGTTGTCACCCCCCACACACACACACACACTTTGGATGGAGCAGTATAAGCAGAGCCACAGTGTAAGCTCTGTGGCCAGGCAGGAGCAGTTTGACTTTGACCTTGACCTCAAGGATGAGCCAGGGCATGAGGCCTGCAGCCCCCACTTGGGGAGACAGCCAGTTCCTGTCAGGTGGAGATGTGCCCCATGGGGCCAGTTCTTCTTTTTCTTCTTTTTCTGAGAAGCTTGGGATCTTGAGTTTTACATAAAATATCGCCCTTTTCAAATGGTAGCTCAAAATAATTTTTTAAAGAAAAATATCACAGCTGCTCAGATCTGTTTTAACCCTGTACAGGCCAGTGTGAGAGGAGAGGGGGAAGTGAAGAGTCCCCTTGCCTCATGGGACACCAGGGCCTCCATCCTGCCCATCCTACTGGGCTCAGCAGATGTTGCCTCCCCCTAGCACCACAAGGGTTTCTTTGTTTGTTGGTTGGTTGGTCTTGTTTTTTGCTTGCTTCTATTTATTTCTGTCTCTCCCAACCTAAATCATAAGGAATGTTGTTTAAGGACCGTCAGTGGGTTAAACACTGGACTCTAATTCTTGAGTTGCACAAAGTTCCTATTTAGTGATAGGGACTTGTCGGGGTACTCAGCAGCTTGCCCTCAAGCCTGCTGACTCCTGTGCTCAGTAGGATCAGCTCAACAGCTAGAGTCAAGGGTAATGGGGGTTATTTGTTTTCACTTTGTAGTACTGGGGGGCAGAACTCAGGGCTTCAAGCTGGCTAAGAGCCTCACCACTGAGTCCCACCTGCAGCCTGGTCTGCACCTTGTCCGTTGTCTGTCTATCATCAGAATGAATGTTCCTTGAGAGCTGGCACGAGCCCTGTGTTGGTCATCACTAGACCTCTAGGGACTCAGATGGCACTGGTGTGAAATAGCTACCAAGATTTTAAAAAGACCGTGCTAGGCACGGTGCTGCCTGCCTCTGATCCCAGCAGCTGAGGCAGGGGAAATGGGTTGGAGGATTATGAGTTTGAGGCTAGCTTGGGCTCCAGAAGGAGGCCTTATCTTAAAGCCAGAGAGAGAAGGAGTGGGGGAAACAGGCTAGGAGACCAGCACGACCTAGCCAGCTAGGCAGAGGCAGGGTAGAAGATGGAAACAATGAAACACAGTCTCCCAGAGATATGCAGAGATGGGTTACAGGTGTGGCTGTAACTGAGGCCGTAAAACAAGGGCCAGCAGGGAGGAGACAACTGGGGGTGATGGGGGGCGGCTGAGCCATGAGACCCAGACACACAAAGATGAAGGGCAAAGGCATAGAACGAGAGGGGCAGGGAGATCACCAGAAAGAAGACAGCTGCAAAGAGGAGGTAAAAGACACATAGGCTGGAGGTACCCTCCCCAGAGTCCAGTAACAAACACATACAATGGAGAGGAGGGGACTGGAGAGACGGCTCAGCGGTTGAGAGCACTGGCTGCTCTTCCAGAGGATCCAGGTTCAATTCCTGGTCCCCACAAAAGAGAAGAGAGAGAGAAATGGAGAAAGATGGGTAAGACCAGAGAGAGGAAGATGTAGAGATTTTTGAAAAAAGAAAGAAGGAAAAGGAGAAGGGGGGGTGTCTGCTAGTGACGCGGAGTGAAGACCAACAAGTGTGGATGGAGCCATAGGGAGGCAAAGAAACAGACAGTGAGATCCGGAGCCCCTTCTCTTCTCCATTGAGGCATGCAGAAGTAGCTCTGATGTTTAGTGAGGCCCAGCCTTCCTCACAACACACCACAGAGCTCATTGTGGAGGTGCACAGTTTTATTCCAGTACTAAGGGCAGAGAGGTTACACCCCCCCCCCCGGGTCTACCTAACAAGTTCCAGGCCTGTCAGGGCTACATAGGGAGATCACGTCTCAGCAATAAATAGCGGCTTGGGAGGGTGGCTCGGGTTAAGAGGGCTTGCTGTTGCTGCTTTTGCCAAGGACCCAGGCTCATTTCCCATCTCTCACATCAGGTGGCTCACTGCCGCCTCGAACGGGTCTAACACCTTCTCCTGGCCTCCTCCTCCATGTATACACATGTATATGCTACATATACTCAGGCACACATATACATGAGATAAAATAAGTAAAAAATTTTTTGAGACAGGGTTTCTCTGTGTAGCCCTGACTGTCCTGGAACTGACTTTGTAGGCAAAGTTGGCCTTGAATTCAGAGATCTGCCTGTCTCTTCCTCCTGAGTGCTGGGATTAAAAGCATGCAACACCACACCTGGCTAAAAATCTTTAAACATAAATTTCATCATTTTTAAAACTTTCATTTTATGTGAATTTATGTTTTGCCTGCATGAATGTCTGTGTAGGGTGTCAAGTCCCTTATAACTGGAACTACAGACAGTTGTGAGCCACCATGTAGGTGCTGAGAATTGAACCCAGATCCTCTGGAAGAGCAGTCACTGTTCTTAGCCACTAAGCCATCTCTCCAGCCCAATCTATATCATTTTCTAATTGTGTATAGGTGTGTGTGTGTCTGTACATGGACATGGACATTCAAGTGCAGTTGCTCTCAGAGGCTAGAAGTATCAGTCCCCCCGGAGTTGAGTTACAGATGACTCACCTGACATGGGTTGTGGGAACTAAATTCAAGTTCTCTAGAAGAGCAGCCGGTGCTCTGGGCTGGAGAGATGGCGCAGAAGTTAAGAGCACTGGCTGCTCTTCTAAAGGACCCAAATTTGAGTCCCAGCACCCACATGGCAGCTCACAATTATCTGTAACTCCAGTTCTGGGAGATCTGATACCCTTTTCTGACTTACTGCGTGCCAGTACATAGACATACATACAAGCAAAACACCCATATACAGAAAATAATAAAATAATTAAAAATAACACGGACTCCTGTCACATGCTGAAAACACTGCTTTAGATGCCCTGGCTCCTCTGATGAGGCCCTGTAAGCACATTATGCAGGCACTTACCATTGTTCCCATTTTACGAATGAGGACCTAGAGCACAGATGGGTTAAGTAACTCACTCAGCTCACACAGGTAGGAAAGTGTTTGGGACTCCAAGGCATCAGGCATCAGGGATGTCTATTGGAAGGAAACTGTGGGGAGTGGGGCATGGTTGGAGAACAGCATGGTCCTTGCAATTGAAGGCCTATGCCTGGGTGTACCAGACTTGCTAGGGTAAAAAAAGTGATGTAGGAAGCAGAGTTCAGAGGCTGGGGATGTGGCTTGGGTGACAGTGCTTGCCCGGCATTTGCAAAGCTCTGGACTCAACCTCCATCACCACGTGAACCAAATATGCTGGCTTGTGGCTGCAATCCTCATACTTGAGGTGGAGGAGGCAGGATTAGAAAAATCAAGGTCATCCTTAGCTAAATAGTAAATTTGAGGTTAGCCTGAGCTACATAGACAAGACCAAGAAAAATCCCATAACTCAAAATGTGTCAAACAAACAAAAACCCACAGAGAAACTCTATCTTAAAAAACAAAAACAAGCCGGGCGTTGGTGGCGCACGCCTTTAATCCCAGCACTCGGGAGGCAGAGGCAGGCGGATCTCTGTGAGTTCGAGACCAGCCTGGACTACCAAGCGAGTTCCAGGACAGCCTCCAAAGCCACAGAGAAACCCTGTCTCGAAAAACAAAAAAAAAAAAAAACAACAAAAAAAAAAACAAAGGCTGCAGGGGTGGCTCACGCCTTTAATCCCAGCACTCAGGAGGCAGAGGCAGGTGGATTCTGTGAGTTTTTGAGGCCAGCCTGGTCTACAGAGTGAGTTCCAGGATAGGCTCCAAAGCTACAGAGAAAAGCTACCTGTCTTGAAAAACCCAACCCAAACCAAAAAAACTGGTGAGATGACTTTGGATTTAGTGGCTTGCTTCTAAGCCTGACAGCCTTAGTTTGATCCAAAGGGCCCATAAAAGGGAGGAGAGAGCTTTACAAATTGTCCTCTGACCTCTAACACATACACTTTTGGTACACTTTTCCAGTACATGTGTGGAATTCAGAGAACAACTTGGAGAATTCAGTTGTCAGGCTTGGCCACAAGTACCTTAACTCACTGAGCCAATGGGCTGGCTGCTATAATGCAAAGCTTTTAATAATAATATGATTATAATAAAAGATTGGGACTGGAAAGATGGCTCAGTGGCTAAGAGCACTAGCTGCTTTTCTAGAGGACCTTGGTTCAATTCCCAGTAACCCATGGCTTCTCAAAACTGTCTGTAACTCCACTTCCAGGGGAGCTGGCACCCTCACACAGACACACATGCAGGCAAAACCTCAATGCACATAAATAACAAATAAATAAACAAGGGGGGGGAATGATTTATCCATCTAAGTGTGAAAACAGCACTGTGGATTCCTAAAACAGAATCAGTATTCATAGTAAACATTGTGAAACATGGCGGGTGGGATGATCTATCCAGAGGACTTTGAACTGGCTCTGTAGACCAGGCTGACCTAAAAATCACAGGGATCCACCTGCCTCTGCCTCCCGAGTGCTGGGATTAAAGGTGTGCGCCACCAATGCCTGGCTTTTTTTTTTTAAATATTATGTGTATGTGTCTGTATCTCTGTGTGGCTATGTGCACGAGAGTGCAGAGGCAGGAAGAGGTCAGAGGCATCAGATCCCCAGGAGGCGTGATTACTATCTGCATGGCATGGGTGTTGCATGACGTGGGTGCTGCTTGACTTGGATGTTGTATGACATGGGTGCTGCTTGACATGGGTGCTCCAGTTTTCTGGAAGAGTGGCAAGCACTCTTAACCCAGCTAAGCCATATCTCTAGCCCTTTTGTTTCTTTTCTTTTCTTTTTTCTTTCTTTCTTTTTTTTTTTTTTTTTTGATAGAGTCTTGTGTAGCCCAGGCTAGCTTCAAACTGAATGGGTAGGCAAGGATGACCTTAAACTTCCCGTCTCTACCTCAGAAATGTTGGGATTACAGGCATGAGCTGCCAGAACTGGTTTATGTGATACTGGGGGCTGAACTCGACTCTGTGAGTGCCAGGCGAGCATTCTGCCAGGGGACCTATGTCTCCAGCCTTGACGCTGTTTTGTGTTTTCAGTTGCCCTAGTGTGCAGCACTGTCCTTCAGTTTCATGCTTCAGCCTTTATCAACTAATTAGCAGCAATTCCTCTGTCTAAATATCACCACTAAGACGGCCCCAGGCCGGTCACCCGGTTCACACTGGTCTCTTGGAAAGCCACTTCTGGGTGCTTGTTTTCTGCTGCCCTCCATTCAGCACCAGAGGGGTCTTGTTTGCTTGTTCATCCCTTGTGTCTTCAGTGCCTAGAAAAAGACCTAGGACAGGGCCAGGGGCTCAATCAATATTTACTGAGTAGATGAGTAAATGTAGTCTCCCTAAACTAGACTGCACGTTCCCAGGGGGCATAGGATCTGGTTACTTCCTGGAGAGAGCTAGCATTTTCTAGAGAACTATGGAGAAGAAAGAACTTTGTGCTGCAAGACTGGGGGGCCAGGGGCCATGCCATTTCCTTGATCTTGGCTTTCTCTCAGGGTGCTTGCCTTGGATTTCTGGAGCTATCCCTTGGCCCATGCTAGAGTTTGATGAATGAAAAGCCAATGTGTGGAACACTTAGGGCAGCCCTGGCTACTGGTCACAGCTGGGTAGCAGTATGGCACCTGTTCCCCAGTTCCTTCTTCTTTTTTTTTGTTTTTTTTTTTGTTTTTTCGAGGCAGGGTTTCTCTGTGGCTTTGGAGGCTGTCCTGGAACTAGCTCTTGTAGACCAGGCTGGCCTCGAACTCACAAAGATCCGCCTGTCTCTGCCTCCCGAGTGCTGGGATTAAAGGCGTTCCCCAGTTCCTTCTTGAGCCACCATCTTGGGTAATTCACTCACTATTGCACCCAGATTCCCTTCAAGCACTCGCTCTCAGCGAGTCCCACATGTCTGCCACTGCATTTCAGGGCTCTCACTGAGTGCAGTACTACTCACTCAGGATTTCAGGCCCCAACCCTTGTCAGTTTTTCGTTTTTCTCACTTCCTCTCTTGCTTTCCCTGTAGCTAACAAGTCCTTTTTTTTTTTTTTTGAGACAGGGTTTCTTTGTAGTTTTAGAGCCTGTCCTAGAACTCTGTAAACCAGAATGGCCTAGAAATCACAGAGATCCGCCTGCCGCTGCCTTCAGAGTGGGGCATGGTGGTGCACACCTTTAATTAAAGGTGCACCACCAGCCCACCACCTGACTTCTTTTTGTCTGCCCTGAATGCTTCCTGGACTTCTGCGGCTGCCTCCTCACTGGTGTCCCTGCCGGTCACTGTTGTTGTGACACAACCCTCTCCTCTTTCCTCCCTGCCCCAACATTCAGAAGGAAACATCATACCATAATCTATCACTGTTGAAAACCTTCAATGCCCTCCCAAGGCCTGTAGCCCACATCACCATCATCCCCAGGAACCTTCCCAGCTCTCACCAGTTATCTCTTCCAGTCTTGAGCTGGTCAGGTTTGTTTTGTTTTGTTTTGTTTTGGTCAGCTTGACACAAGCTACGATCACCTGTGAAGAGGGAACCTCAGTTAAAAAGTTGTTCCCATCAGATTTGTCTGAAGTCAAGCGTGTGGGCCATTGTCTAGAGTAGTGATTGATGTGGCAGAGCACAGCTCACCCTGGGTGGTACCACACCTGAGCAGGTGCTTCTGGGTTGTACAAGAAAGTAGGCTGAGCAAGCCAGTAGACAGCATTCTTCCATGTCCTCTGTTTCCAGTCCCTGCCCTGTTTTCCCTGGATAATGGACTCTTATCTCAAAGATGTAATAAGCCCCTTCCTCCCCAGGTTACTTTTGGTCATGGATTTTATCGCAGCGAAAGAAAACCAAACAAGGACAAGTCCCCAAATGCATCCTTTGCTCCTTGACTGCAGCCTTTACATATCTGTTACTCCCTGTATTTGCTGTTCTTTCCTCCCCAGCATCGGGTAGACCTACCCTTAAATACTGTCTTCTGGATTGCTTCCCCTGGATCTTCCCACACATCAGGTGCCCTCCTGTGCAATCCCATCAAGCACAACTTTCACCCCTCACACCTCATGACTTGTTTTCTTTTTCTTCTTGTGGTTCTGGGATTGAACATCGGGCCTCCTGCATACTAGGCAAGTGCTCGACCACTGAACTGTATCCTAGCCCTCTCCTTACCTTTCATGACGCCGTGGCTTTGAACTTGCCACTCTCCTGTCTCAGCTCACAGATAGCTAGGATTACAGGCCTCCGTCCCTTTCATTTTAAATGCCTGTTACCTTCAGCCATCACCTGCCTCCCTTCCATTTGATCTCCAGCCCCTAAGGGCAAGAAAGTACTGTCTCATTCTCTTTATCCAGGATAGTGCAAGCTCTGGTGCGTAGCAAACCCTCAGTCAGTGTTTATTGGATGGATGAAGAGACTTTCAGCTACACCCAGCACTCAGGAGCCAGAGGCAGGTGGATCTCTGTGAGTTCGAGGCCAGCCTACTCTACAGATCCAGGATAGCCAGAGCTACATAGTGAGACTTGTCTCAAAAAGAAAAAAAAAAATCAAAACAAAAACCAAAATGACAAAAAGTCATGGAGAAGCTGTGATAAGCAAATCTTACTTCTGCCTTTTTACCTGTAAATGAAGACACTAACAGTACTTTTCGTCTTTTTGGTGGAGTTGTGGAGTCCAGTTTTTTGTTTTTTCGAGACAGGGTTTCTCTGTGGCTTTGGAGGCTGTCGCGCAACTCGCTCTTGCAGACCAGGCTGGTCTGGAACTCACAGAGATCTGCCTGCCTCTGCCTCCCGAGTGCTGGGACTAAAGGCGTGCGCCACCACCGCCCGGGTTGAAGTCCAGTATTTAGGGAACATATATAAACATTTTTGTTTTAGGAATTTTTTAATGCATCTAAATTAGGCAAGTGCTTCACGGCTGAAGTAAACCTCCAAGTCCCTCATTTTATTTTTGATACTCTTGGCTCTCAACACACTCACCATCGAAGTCCAGGCATCAGTTCATGCTGCAGAAGAGCATTTACACCAGAAGTGTCCCTTTAAATCCTGAGTTCTAAACCAAACTGGGCCCAAACTCGGACGCGGACATTGACCCGGAGCCACAGTCCATTTAAGGGTAGAGGGGCGGGCCCGGAAAGACTCCGCCCCGCGTGAGGTCAGCGCGCACTGCTGCGTCTGACGCTCTGGTTGCCGCAGAGACGCCCCGCCCCCGCGCGGCGCTGCGGAACCGGAGCTCCGGGCGGCGTCGGCAGAGGCGCGGGAGGTGGCGAGGCCAGGGCAGGGCGGCAGGAGCCCGCGCGGCGACCGCAGCGAGAGCAGCAGAGACAGAGCAGACCACGACGAAGGCACACAGGCAGCCGGGCCGGGCCGGGCCACCGGGAGAGCGGCCGCCGGGAAGCGGGCGGAAGGCCGGGCTGGCAGCTGGCAGCCGCCGAGCCGCGAAGCGACATGGTGCTGCTCAAGGAGTAGTGAGTGTCGGGTCGGCTGTGCGGAAGCGAGGCGGAAGGGAGGGTCGGGATGACGGCCGCGAAGGCAGATCGCCTGCTGGGGGATGGAGAACACCGGATGGGGCTGTTGGGCTGCCTAGCAGGGGCGGAGGGGCCAGCGGGTGACAGACAGCACCTGAGGTGGGGTCGAATAGGCCAGAGAAGAGGCCGGGAACCGGTGCGGGCCGGACAGGGCCTGAAGAGGGGTCAAGGGGACAGGGAGAATCAGAGGGGGCATGAGGAGGGCCCCGAGGAATGGAGAGCGCTGGATGTGGTGTGGCCCTATAGTGGGCTCTGGGGGATGAAGGGGCAGACTGAGGAGTTGTGTAAGGGACCAAGGAGCAGTGGGACAAGGGCAGACAGCGCTGGTGAGTTGGCTGACGGTGGGGAGGGGTTTGAGGCTGGGCTGTATGTACCAAGGGGCAGGGAAGATCAGATAAGATAGCTCCTGGAATGGAGTTGAGGTGGTAGGGAGGAGTGCTGAGGCGGAACCTGGGGCATGGACAGTGGCTGCCTTAGGCAGCAGAGGAAGGATTGTAATAATTGGTTGCAGGGAAAAAAAAGAACTTAAGTCACAGCCAGGCTCGGGTAATGGGGAAGGGAGAAAGAGCTTAGGGGACCAAGATAACAGGGTTGGGTGGGAATGGCTGGAGTAGCATGGTACCTAAGTAGTAGGTGCAGAAGAGGAGGCTTTTGGAAAAAGCTCGGGATGCCTGCCTAGGACTTGGCAACACTTGAATGGAGGCTATAAAATAGGTTCTGAAGTGATGTGAAGGAGTTTCAGCGATAGAGATGGTCAGAAGTTAGCAGGGCACGAGACTATCCAGACAGATAGTATAAGAATGAATATGCCTGCTAATGGAGGTGGTGGCTACCAGGATGGGGACATCCAGTCTCTAGTGGATTTTGGGTCTAGGTTCAAAGAAATGAGGAAATTGCTTGGGGAAATTTTGGTTCCCACAAATGTTTTGGGGGTTGAGGAGCTTTGCTTTGGGGGACACGTGGGGCTTGCTAGATGTTTGCTTCTGGAACCCAGGGGTTTGGCTGACAGGGGTTATTTGGATTGCTAAATATTTCAGACAATGTGACTCAGTCCTGAGGATCGTGGTTCCTAGTGAACATCCCAAGCACAATTGGGTATGTGTATAGACTATCGTGAAACTAAGATTCCTTGAAGGAGAGGGCAAGGGGACAGCATTGGGTCTTGAGCCCCAGAAATTCAGAAATGGAAAATGTTCAAACAGAAACTTGTGAAACTCTTAGTGACCAAGCAAGTGTGCAGAACACTCTTTCTGTCTCGTCAGTGAAGGCACTTTGTACATTCCCACACAGTTTGCTTCTTGGGGGTGTTTAATATGTCATATACAGTTTGAATGACAAAGTAGAGAGCCAGGAGTCATCCCACCTTGACTCTTCTGTGAAGAGCAATATTTGGATGCCCTATCGCCCCTCTTAATGTCCAGAGTTAATCCAGCCAGCACTCAGAGCTTTGTGTGGTGGAGGACAAGCACATTCCGGTGCCAGTGTTCTCCAACGAGAACATGGTGCTCTTTGCATTTTAACCCTTGGTGTCCAAAAGAATGAGCTCGTCTCACTTTTCAGTTAAAAAAAAATCACATATGAAATGTGTAGAAATGTCTGTAGAAATGTGTAGTTTTGAAAAGGTCAGGCAGGAGAAGGAAGGGCCTTCTGAAGAGATGAAGCAAATCTGGGAGGCAGGCATTCTTTTTCCATTCTTTTTCTCCCCACTTGAAGCCTGGCCAGTGAAAGGCCCAAGGTGCTGGTGGTGCAGAACCTGCCTGGCGTCTGCATTGCCTTCCTGATGGACTTGTGTCCTGTGCGTGCATCCCTGGGTGGGGACAGGAGGAGAAACAGGCGAGGGGCTGTGGTTGCAGGGCTGCGGTTCTGAGAAGGCAAGTGAAGGTCATGCCTTGGTGAGGGTGGCTCCAGTATTGGCCCAGTTGGGCCTCTGTGGCCCTCTCCTTTCCAGTTGTCCCCTGTGGCTGCTGAGGTGGCTTTGTTCCGAGGGGGCAAGGGAGAAATGTCTGGTTGTGCAGGCTGTAATGGAAGCAGGCTTAGAGCATCCTTGAAGGCATTGACTGGAACTAGTCTCTTGAGGGGAGGTTTGGATCTGAAGGTTGTCCCTTTTTCTAACACTTCCTCCAACAGGCTTTTCCCTGGTTTGATTTCATGCAAATTCTTGGATGTGATTTTTGCTGTGTTCTTGAAGATAAAAGGCATATTGTTTTCTAGGAAGTTTCTTCTGAGGGTGCAGAAATTCTGCCCTCTAAGTTGGAAGTCCTTCTCTGCACTGTTGGCTTCCTATCATGGGAGGATTTCCATTACCGGAATCTGTTTGGAGGAAAGGGTTAGCTTAGCAGGCAATAAAGCACTTGGAGCCCAGTCTCCCCCTGTTGCTGATTCTGCCCCATGCCTGTCCTTTACTGGGATATTTTCCTCAGGTCTCATTCTGTGTTTTCTTGCTGCCCAGGAGAACTTTGTGGGACTAGGGAATAGCAAGCTGTTTTGCAGCCTGGAGCAAAGAGTCATGCTTGAACCTCTGCTTAGGAAGGACGTGCTCCTGCTTTACTAAGCAAAGACAGCAGCGAGGACCCAGCAGGCTCTGAGAAGTGGGAATCTTCGCTTTGGCATTTGATTATTTTTTATTTATTTTATTTTATCTTAAGACAGGGTCTCTCTCTGTGTAGCCCTGGCTGTCCTGGAACTCAATCTGTAAACCAGGTTAGCCTCAAACTCAGAGATCTGTCTGCTAAAGGCGTGCATCACCACCACCCGGCTTTGTTTGTTTGTTTTCAAACAGAGCCTTACCATGAAACTCTGGCTGGCCTGGAACTGTGTAGACCAGGCTGGCCTCAAACTCACAGACCACTTGCCTCTGCCTGCACAGTGCTGGGTGGCTTGACTTTTGGGTATAGTCAAGGCGTTAATCTCATCTCTCTGACCTCAGAGTATTGAACTGGGTGGGGTCAGCTTCTGGTCTGTCACAAGTACAAGCCACCTGGGGAAGTGCCTCTAGTTTTCTCAGTTCTCTGGAATTCTGACCCTTTTTGAGGACTTTGCTGGCTATGATTTCTCTATCAGCTTATTGTGGTACCTGCCAATAATTGGAGATGGTCAAATGCAGAAGGAAAGAAAGTGCCTTTGGATAGCTCCTTGAGGTCAGAGCTGGGTATCCTCTCTAGAGCTGCATGAGGTAGCTTGCATTATAACATCCTTCAGAGAGCAGAGGTGGGGGCACTTGAGTCTCTAGGGTTGATTAAGCCTCTGGGAAATTGTCCCTTCACAGTCTTTGACCCTGAGGGCTGATGTTGGAAGTTGAGCCCACTGATACCCACCGCCAGGGCCACATTCTTTGAATGTGAATCCTCATCATAATGAGCCTTCCCTGTTAGCTTCTGTTTTACTAGACGCATGAGCAAGTGTTGGAGGAGAGACGGTTGAGGGAGTAGGGAGAAAGATGTGAGTGGTCTGCGAAGTAGGTAGTGGGGAATTCAGGTTTTGCTCTGAATTAGAGGATTCTACACAGGATTGCAGAAGGGCCTGGCTTGGCTTTTTGTCAGTGAGTAGGGGGTCTTATTCAACAAAACATGAACACTGTGCCAAGGTGATGCTTTCAGAGCCTGGAGCTGATACTCTTTCTCTTCTTTTGTAGTCGAGTCATCTTGCCTGTGTCTGTAGATGAGGTAAGTCTTTTTTTTTTTTAATCATCTCATCCATAATTGTTCATAAGTACTTGTGAACTCTGGCTTAGTTGGGCTGGGAGTGGTCACACTGTAGCTTTCATTTGTATTCTATTATAGAGATAACCAAGTCTCAGTTCAAATATGCCTGGTGCTATTTCTGCTAAAGGAGGGCACTTGTGTGGTGAATCTGGTCCCTGAGTGCAGCCCGTCTCACGCTCTCGGCTTGCTGGGTAGTTTTCAGTGAGACTAAAGCAGCTGTTCTGCGGGGACTGCACTGTGTGGGATGTGGGATGGACGACGAGCTGCAGTGGGCACGTGTGGGGCCTCCATGACTAGGCTGAGGACAGTGCTTTCTGGTTAATGTGCTTGAAGCAACCAGCAAGACCAGAAATCTCTCGAGTCCCCAGCCATGCTTGGTAGCTTCTGGAAAGTCCAAGGCATAGAAACCTCCTTTTACGGAGGGCAGAGGATGACAAACAGGCTTGGCTCGCCCTCCGTCCTTTTATGGTTCCTAGGTCTGACAGCCCTGTGCCTCTGGAACTGGCAGCAGTACTTGTCACAAGCAGGTCCATAGGCCCTGCTGACTCAGAGCTATCTATTGGACAGCAGAAACTGCCTTGATGCCTCCCTTTGTCCCACCCTTTCTCTGAACTTCCTCTTTTCTCCCTTCCTGGCCACGCTTGTTCTTGACTTTCCTCTGAATCCACAGCTCTGCCCCAGCTTCCAGTGAAATGAAAGTCAGCCTGAACCCCGGTTGTTGGTGCCATCTCCTTTTCCTATAGGACCAATAGGAAACCCATGGGCTGGACCTGTGAGGAATGAAAGCAGGCTAGAAGAGCTGGAGCATCCTTTAAACATCTCTCTCTCTCTCTCTCTCTCTCTCTCTCTCTCTCTCTCTCTCTCTCTCTCTCTCTCTGTGTGTGTGTGTGTGTGTGTGTGTGTGTGTGTGTGTGTGTGTATGATATACATGGTGGGTAGAGTCACAGGCGGTTGCCAGTTGTCCATTATAAATGCTTAGAGTCAAGCATAGATCCTCTAATGGGGAACAAGTGCTCTTAACAAGTAAACCATCTCTCCAGCCTGTGGGAGCATTCCTTAGATGAGACAAATCACCCCCAAGAGTGATACCTATACATTGGTCTCTGAGAGGATTGTCTCCAGTGGGTACTGAGTACTTGATAGATGTAGCTGAGATCTGGGAGAGGGACACATGTGAACTTGAACATGGTCTGAGAAATAAGAAATAAAAGAGATATCTGGGTACCAGCAGCAGAAGAATTAACAAAGACTTTGAGACCAGCTTGGGTATGTAGCAAGACTTCACCTCAAAATAAAATTAATTAAGCCAGGCGTTGGTGTTGCACGCCTTTAATCCCAGCACTCGGGAGGCAGAGGCAGGCGGATCTCTGTGAGTTCCAGGCCAGCCTGTTCTACAGAGTCCAGGACAGCCTCCAAAACTATACAGAGAAACCCTGTCTCAGAAAAAAAAAGAAAGAAAGAAAAGCAAATTAATTAAAAAAATAGAAGCCAGTGATGGTGGCTCACGCTTTTAATCCCACACTCAGGAGGCAGAAGCAGGGGGATCATTGAGTTTGAGGTTAGCCTGGTCTACAGAGTGAGTTCCAGGACAGACAGCTACACAAAGAAACCTTGTCTCGAAAAACAAAACCAAAATCAATAGTAACTCACACTTCTAATCCTGATACTTGGGAGGCTGAGGCAGGATGATTGAAGTCAGCCTGAGCTACACTGTGGATTTCAGGACAGCCTGGGCTACAGAGTGACAACCTGTTTCAAGAAATTAGAAACATGCCTTTTAGTCCCAGTACTTAGAAGGCAGAGACAGGTGGGTCTTTGTGAGTTTGAAACTAGTCTCGTATACATGGCAAGTTCTAGGACAGCCAAGGCTACACAGTGAGATCCTGTCTTTAAAAAAGCAAATAAAACAAAAAAGCTGGAAAGAAAAATAAAGCTGGGTATGGTGGTACCTGAGTTTAACCTCAGCACTTGGGAGGCAGAAGCAGGGGGATCATTGAGTTTGAAGCCTGCCTGGTCTATAGAGTAAGTTTTGGGACAGCCAGGTATGCACAGAGAAATTCTGTCTTGAAAAAAAAAGAAAGCAAGGAAAGAAGAAAGGCAAATAAAACAGCAAATAATCAAGTACTGGGGAGGAGAGAAGAGATGGACGGACAGACAGACATAAAGGAATCTAAGGAAAAGAGAAAATGGCTAAGTAGATGCTGTGATATGTGGAGCCACCTGAGATATACCTGGGTCCTGGAAACCAGGTGCCTGGTTGTGTTAGCTTTGGGACAGTCAACCCACTTCCTTTGAGGGCCTTGCTGTCAATATTAAAAATTAAGTGAGTTCAAGACTAACTTGCTCTATATAGGGAGTTTCAGGCTAGCCAGGGCTACATAGTAAGAACTTATCCTAAAGAGGAAAAAAAACCCTGGGTGTTAGTGGCACATGCCTTTAATCCCAGAACATGGGAGGCAGAGGCAGGCGGGTCTCTGTGAATTAGAAACCAGCCTGAACAGTCAAGCCTACAAAGAGAAACCCTGTCTCAAAAGCAATCAGAAAGGACATGTAACATGATTTCCTAACAGAAAGCCTCTATGTCCCCTTACCTTGAAACTTAGGCGGGCCAATAGCTGTCTCCGTATTGTACAGGATCATCCTTCCCCCAATCAGAAAGTCCCTCTAGAATGTGGACTGTCTCCATGTGGGATCTCAGGTACAATGGATCAATTTGCAGGGAGTCTCTTTCTTGATGGGCCAAGGCTGAGACAGAGAGTACTGCAGAACAGGGGTCTAGAGTCGTCTGGGAGCCCACGGCTGGAAGGAAGGGGAGATGCCCACCTTGAGAACATCTTGGCTGGCAATTTTTAGCTTGTGTTGTTTTTGCAGTATGGAGGAAGTGGTGAGACCGAGCAGGGCAGTGAGAGCCTGGGCCAAGCTGAAGCTTGGGAAGTACTTGCTTGTTCTGAGGCTGTTTGCATGGTGCTGGTTAGCCTGTTAGCAGGAAAGCACTGACGGGAAAACAGCAGGGCTGCAAGGGTGAAGTTGCTCTATTGGTAGCTTGAACCTTAGTTCCAGATAATCAGAAAATTCTAGAATGGGGAGAGTGAAGAAGTAAGTAAGGAACAGCCTCTGTCAGTAACCCCTTTCTGACTCACCGTTCCCATGAGAACAGCCCAGCGTCATGTGACTGGTAGATTCACTTCCTATATTGGAGACTGTGACTTGAGTCCCCTTGGAGCTTCTGGTTTGGGGAGAAAAAAAGGAAAGGAGAAGGTCATGGCTTTATAGCCATCCTGATGGCCTGAATCAATATTTGGGGGCAGAATTAGCTTGTTTGGCCAGAACCTTTAGTGTAACACTACCTTGGGTTTCCAGGCATCCTATAGCAGAGCAAGAAAGCCCTGGTTGTTTGATATGGGTGTGTCCCCAGCAGTTCCTGGCTCACCTTCTGTGGACAGGGCAGACTCATGGCACCATTCCTCTATGGAAGCTGACCTGACAGGGCTGTGTGGCTGTGTGAGTGGGTCAACAGAGTACTGTTTTTCTTGCCCTTTTTTTTTTTTTTTTTGAGACAGAGTCTTACTGTATATTCTTGCTAGCCTGATGCTCAGTATGTGGCTCAAGGTGGCCTTAAATTCATGACAGTCCTTTTGACACAGCCCCCTGTGTGCTGGGATTATAGGTGTGGGCCACTTGAGTCTAACTGACTACGTTTGTTGTCATGTGTATCATTCAGTGTTTTCTGCTCCACATTTCACCTCCCCCATTCCTACTCACTGGTTATCCAAGTGGTAGAGTCTCTGTTTTGCTTCACGGAATGACTTAGTCTATGGGACAAGGGGACACCTCTTAAGGGCAAGGTAACATTATTTTCAGCCTAAGGAAGTTAGAATCCTGATCTCCCTGGGGCTCCCTGTCTGATTTTGTGGTCTGATCCTCACTCTGCTGCCACCCAATCATGAGTCTGGCAGCTTCCTAGGAAGTAGCCCGGCTGTGCCAGAGGGGACCTGATGTGAAGTGTCCCGCACTTGTTTCCTTTACCTCTGTGGATTAACAAAACTGCCTCACTTGTCTCATTGGGATTAAAGGATCAGAATATCAAGAGAGATTAAAGGGGAAGAGGCCAGCACGCAGACTGATCCTCTTAGATCCTGCCCTGTGATTCCTGCAGCCCAAGGGAATCCCTGAAGACCAAGGTCTCTGACAGTCCCAGACCCCTCCCCAAGGAACACTACCAGTAAACTGCAGCTAGTCCTGTCTACAGGCCCTCTCCCCAGCCTGCCCTTTAGGATTTGCTGAGTCAGTCATTCAGTGTCCTTACGATTCTCCCCAAAGCAGAGCTCCTGCTGCTTCATAGGAGGAAGCCCTGGCTCAGCCAAACCCTGACCCACTTGATATAGTTTTCAAGTGTGCCTTAGCAGGTGATAGGACTGGAAAGGTACAGGGGCTAATGTGGGGTTCCTACGGCACCAAAGCAGCACTGGTAGTCCTCAGAATTAGCAAGATGGCGGTAACTGGCTCTCACTCTCAGATGTTCCTCTTGATGGAACTAACTGAGCCTTGATCACTTACCTGGGCCTTTCCTTGGCATTCTGTGCTGGGCTTTGGAAACTCAGGCTTTTTAGGCTTTGTGGTAAGCAGTGAACTGTCTTGGACCACTGCTTTCCCCCCAGATGTCATCCAGAAGTTTCCTTGTAGTGCTTCAGGAGCTGAGGTGGAGAAGGCTTCCGGGTGTGACAGCCAACCTAGAGCTTCTGTGACTTGCTCTTGCTGGTAGCAGTGCTTTGCATCAATGTCAGTGGTGGATGCCAGAGTTACAGCTTCTTGATTTTAATCTGAGGAAGAGAACACCTCTAGTCTTCCCCCTGGGCATACCAGTTCAGGGGAGGGTGTAGAGGGCATGGAAAGCTTTATCTGCCCCCACCCCCAGCAAGTGGGGTAATGGAGTGCTTGTCTGTCTTTTCCTTGACCTTCTTGCCCTTGGCAGCCAGAGGAAGATGCATCTTTTGAAATAGATATAATTTCCTGCTCTGTCACAGCTCATTTTCTCTGCACTGTTCATTTTCTTTCTTTTTGCTTTATTTTGAAACTATGATCTCACTATTTAGCCATGGCCATCCTAGAACTTGTTATGTTGACCAGGCTGGCCTTGAACTCACAGATATCTACCTTCTCTGTCTCCTTCCTGAATGCTGAGATTAAAGACTACCATGCCCAGAGTCTTCAATATGTTTTCCCTCTGCAGATAATTTCTCTTCGAAATAGGTGTGGGGGCCGGGCGGTGGTGGCGGTGGCGCACGCCTTTAATCCCAGCACTGGGAAGGCGGAGGCAGGCAGATCTCTGTGAGTTCCAGGCCGGGCTGGACTGACAGCCTCCAAAACAATACAGAGAAACCCTGTCTCGTAAAACCAAAAAAAAAAAAGAAAAAGAAAAAGAAAAAGAAAGAAAGAAAGAAAGAAATAGGTGTGGGGTAGGCCTGGACATCAGTTACTAAGGACTTAAGGATGTTAAGTCATCAGTCCTACACCAAGTGGTCCTAAGGGATCAGAAGAGGTCAATGAATTGATAGAGTGACACATGACCCAAATAAAGGAAAACCAGGCTTTTGCCATCTAGCAGCTGCCAAGGCAGAGGGGCATACAGCCAGCACAGCCTGGGGAAGGGATCTGTAATGCAGGGAGCAAGAGCATGGCTTCAACCTACTGGGAATGGGAAAAATCAGGAGATGTCTTCTTTGAGAGGTTCTGAGGTCCCTACAGGGTGAGTAAAAGCTACACAGGAAAAAAAAGGAAATGGGTTAAGCCAGTTTTTGCCAGAGGTTGTAGGCTACACAGCAATGAATGGCTTTCTTGAATACTAAGTTGGAGTCTTGGTCTCTGATAATTTATGTATTTCTTTCTTTTTTTTTTTTTTTTTGTGAAGATCCAAGTACTTTATTTCTGGTCACCGTTCCTCCCGCCCATTCAAACAGTGATATAAAAGGGATAGAACAAAGATAAATCAGGTCATGAGACTTTCCAAGGAGCACTCTCCCACCCCGCTTCTTCCAAATCAGGACACACGATTGATGTCGATCCCACTCCTTCTGCAGGGTCTTCCCTGAAGTCACCACTAACCAGTTCAGAGGGAGAGGGACCTCGGAGGGGCTATCGCCACCCCAGTCTTCCTCGTGGTCCCATTTATCTCTCCGAAACCAACAATACTGTTGGGCAGCGTCCCACACTTTGGCCCCTCTGACCTCTCACGCTTTATGTATTTATTTCTGTTGTTGCTTTTGGGTTTTGTTTTGTTTGTTTTTGTTTTGTTGAAACAGGGTTTCTCTGTGTAGTCCTGGCTATCTTGGAACTCTGTGTAGACCAGGCTGGCCTCGAACTCAGGAGTCCACCTGCCTTTGCCTTCCTAGTGCTGGAATTAAAGGTGTGTGCCACCACTGCCTGGCTGTTTTGTTTTTGTGACACAGCGTTTCCAATTGTAGCCAGAGATACTGAGGTTGCATCACACTCATGGCAGGCCTCCTATCCCTGCCTCCTGAGTGCTGCCTTTATTAGGGTCTGTTTAAATAAGTGAGATAAAGAGATTTTTAGTAACTAACTGAGGTCTGATAGCAGAGCTGGGAGCAGACCAAAAGACACCCTGCACTCTGTTTTCTGGATGATGCTGTGAGATTAAGTATAGTCTGTGCTCTCTTTAAACTCATGGGTTTGTAAAAATGGGAAGATGAAATTGAATACTTCTGATGGTTAAAGAGAGCCTGTAATCCCAGCTACTTAGGAAATTGATGCAGGAAAACAAGAAAGAGGGTTGAACACTTAGCAAGCAACGTAGCTTGCTTGAGGCCCTTAGCACTAAAAAAAATAGTAGAAGAAAGAAAAAGTAAAAATATGAGAGATGCCAAAGTGCAGAGTTCTCCATTGCTTTGGGAGAATTTTGACAGGAACCACTGAACCCACAGGTGGAGTTCCTGGACTACAGTTGCAGTTGGGTCCTGTGTAACAGTTGCAAATAATGCCTGTCTCTTTGGTTCTTTAGTATCAAGTGGGGCAGCTGTATTCTGTGGCTGAAGCCAGTAAAAATGAAACTGGTGGTGGGGAAGGTGTGGAGGTCTTGGTGAACGAGCCATATGAGAAGGACGGCGAGAAAGGCCAGTACACACACAAGATCTACCACTTACAGAGGTACGTGCCCCAGGTAACTGGGCCGGAACATGGCCTACCTTGACAGTGGCTAATTGGGAGTGTCTCCAGGTTATAAACTGGCAGCCTGAGTTGCTTCATCTCTCAGATTGGGCATGGGTGGTACTTCTTTGTTCATTTTAAGATTTGTTATTAAAAAAACAAAAGTGACCTCACTTACCCTATTATGCTCTCAGTCCATTGAAGCTATTTTGGCATCTTGTGGGCCCTTCCATTGTCCTAAGTACAGGAGTATGTGTGGACCATGTATAAACAAGCCCTCATTTCCTATACTATGTGTTGATCGTACCATACTATACACACTGTTGTTTCCTCTATAGTTAACTTTCATGTCATAGCTGTCTTCCATACATTTCCTACCTGGTTGTTTGCCGGAGATTTATGCTAGGCTGTGGTCAGCCCCTGAGCTCCCTCCCTAGCCCTCTGCCTTACTCTTTCAAAGCATTCCTAAGAACTGAGCATGGTGGTGCTTGCTCAGAATCTCAGCACCTGGAAAGCTGAGGCAGGAGGATGGTGAATGTGAGGCCAATTAAGACTGTAACTAGTTCCAGGTCAGTCTAGGTTATATAATGTCTGGAATAAACAAAACCACCAATGAAACAGGATCAAAAACTCTCCCAATGAATAAATAACGTATTTAGAAAGTATTTGCTCACTGTACGTGTGCTGTAAGCTGTTTGAGCAGCCCTCTCTTGAGATCCATTTTATAGTAATTTCCAGATACATAAGACTCCTGCAGAACTACTACTGCATACTTCTATCTATAAGTCTGTAGTGAATGCAGTAAGAATTGTTGTTGGTAGGTAGAATTTAATTAGAATTAAATTCTAATTTTGTGGAATCAGATACCAGAGAAATTGTAGTGCCTCTATCTTTTTAAAAAAGATTTACTTGTTTTTATTTATGTGCATTGGTGTTTTGCCTTCCTGTATGTCTGTGGGAGGGTGTCAGATACCTTGGAACTGGAGTTACAGGCAGTATAACACCTGTGTGTGTGTGCCTGTCCTGGAACTCACTCTGTAGACCAGGCTGGCCTAGAACTCACAGTGATCCATCCTCCTGCCTCTGCCTCCCAAGTGCTGGGATTAAAGGCGCGAGCCACCACTGGCCGCAGAACTTGTGTCTTCTTGAAGAGCAGTAATTGCTCTGAACTTCTGAACCACCTCTCTAGCCACAGTCCCCTTTTAAAAATTATTAAAAGATATTTTTCCCCAATATTGTCAAGTAACTTAGGAACTTGTGTACTGGAATTTATAGTAAACCATACATATTTGCTGAATCCCAAACCTAAACGATTTTTATCACAAAACCATGAGCCTTGAAACCAGCGGTAAGCATGTACCAGCTTGAATGAAGTCACCCAGACTATTTAAGAAATGACTCAAGCAGGGTTGGAGAGATAGCTCAGCAGTTAAGAGCATGTGCTGCTCTTGTAGAATATCTTGAGTTTGGTGCTCAGCGCCCACATCAGGCCGCTCATAACTGCCTGTGACTCCAACTCCAGACAATCCACTGTCTTCTTCTGACCACCCAGGGCATCTGTACCTGTGTGCACACCCACACACAGACATGCATGCATACACATAAAGATATTTTCTTAGTGGATAAAGAGCTATTCATACAGGCCTGTGACTTGAATTCCAATCCCTGAACCTATGTAATAGCTGGGCACAGAAAAGTGCACATTAGGACAGGAGAATCCCTGGGAACTGATGTGCCAGCCGCATGGTAGAAACAGCAACAAACATCTCAAGAGACCATGCTTCAAATAAGGGAGCAGCTGAGGACTGTCACCTGAGGTTGACTTCTGACCTCTACCTGAGCACCATGGCATACACATAGCCTCAATCACACACAAACAAGCACATATGTATTGTATACACTCATGCATGCACACACACAAAATAATACAACAAAACAATAAAGAAACTATAGAACTGGGAGAAATAAATATGAATCTTTGAATCTTTTGACTTTGTGATCAAATACACAACATAAAATTCAGCATTTTGGCCATTTTGAATTGTGCAGTTTAATGACATTAAGTACATCCACATTTCATGCAACTTAAACCTGCGTCTTGGGGGCTAGAGAGATGGCTCAGTGGTTAAGAGCACTGGCTGCTTTTCCAGAGGCCCTGGGGTTCAGTTCCCAGCACCCACATGGCAGCTCACAACCATTGGTAACTCTTGTTCCAGAGGATCTGAATCCCTCTTTTGACATCCATGGGCACCAGACACATAAAAATAGGTGCAGGCAGCCAGGCGTTGGTGGCGCACGCCTTTAATCCCAGCACTCAGGAGGCAGAGGCAGGCGGATCTCTGTGAGTTCGAGGCCAGCCTGGTCTACAAAGTGAGTTCCAGGACAGCTTCCAAAGCCACAGAGAAACCCTGTCTTGAAAAACCAAAAATAAAAAAATAAAAAATAAAAAATACGTGCAGGTAAAACATTTAAACACATAAAATTAAATTAGGTTGAATCAAATTTTAAGAAGCTGAATTTTAATTCCTAGTCCCTAAATAGAACTGAACTTCATTTCATTTTCATGTGGAGAAATCCTGGCTTTGCTGTAGTTGCTACTCGGGTGAAAAGACAGTGTGAACCCACAAAGTCCCAGGCTTGGTAGGTCTGGAGCCGAGTG